GTTCCAGAACTTTTCCATCAGAAAACTTGAAACCCCAGGCCCATTAGATGCAAATGCCCCTCCTGCAGCCCCTGGTAACCGCCTTCGACTTTCTGTGTCTGTGATTTTTGACAACTTGGGATACTTCCTGTGACTGGAATCAGCGGTGTTTGTCCTCTGTGACTGACTTTTTCCTCTTAGCTTAACGTCCTTCCAGTGAGAGGACTTTCAGGCACCGTGCAGAGGCCCTTGAGCTTGCACTGCCTCACCAGGCTGCAGTCCTTGAAATGTCTGAGGCGGGCTGAGCCTCCAGGGACCCCGTGGAAGGAGGAGCAGTGGGTCTGCACCGGGTTTGAGGGGCTGCTCTGTCCCCGTGGGGTCCCCCTCCCCTCTGGGCTGGTCTTCAAGTTCAGTCTGCCACCAAGAGGGGAAACTGACAAAGTCTCGCCCATCCCCTATCCTACTTGTTCAGTCGCTCAGTCGTGTCCGAGTCTTTGTGACCCCATGGACTGCAGCCCACCACGCCTCCCTGTCCTTCACCATCTCCCTGAGTTTGTTCAAGCTCATATCCTCAATTGAGTCGGTGATGCCATTTAACCATCTCCTCCTGTCGCCTCCTTCTCCTCCTGCCCTCAGTCTTTCCCAGCCTCAGAATCTTCTCCAATGAGTCAGCTCTTTGCATCAGGTGGCCAAAGTATTGGAGCTTCAACTTCAGCATGAGTCCTTCCAATGAATATTCAGGGTTGATTTCCTTTAGGATTGACTGGTTTGATCTCCTTGCTGGCCAAGGGACTCTCAAGAATCTTCTCCAACACCACTCCTTAGTAAGGAGGACCCTCCTCCAAGTAGACTCTCTCCATCCTGCCTGGGGCACTGGGTCATTGCACATAAAATCGACTCATTAAAAACCATCAGGCAGAAGCCTGACACTTGGTCAGTCAACATCCCAACTGTGTCACTGCCGGAAGTGGAGGTCAGGTCATGGCAGAGTCACAGGCCTGATGGGATATAATGTCCCCAAAACTGAGAAGACGATGAACTGATATCAAGAAAAATTCCCTCCTTCTTAGATGAAACAGAAGCTGTGGGGAGCACTCTGAGGAATACCAAAGCTTCAAATAACTCATCCATGATTTAGCAAGTTGGTTATTCGCTGAGTCGACCAGTTTGCAAAATGATCTTCAACACATCGGTTCCTGGGGAATGGACCTATTCAGGGAAGGTGGCTGTTCCTGGCTGGGCCCTGATCCAGGGAAGGATGAGACTTCTCTGCCCCCTAGTGGCCTTGGGGGTAATGACAAGGGCAGCAAAACCACTCCCCAGAAGGCAGGAGAAGGGGCCCACAGAGGATGAGATGGTTGGGTGGCATCACCGACTGGATGGACATGAGGTTGAGCAAGCTCCAGGAGCTGGTGATGGACAGGGAGGCCTGGCATGCTGCAGTCCATGGGGTCGCAGAGTCGGACACGACTGAGCGACGGAACTGAACTGACTTGACTAAGGGGGTTCTGCAAGGGCTCTACCAGTAAGACACCCTTCCTTCCCTCCCCCTCCAGACTCTCAAAGGCAGCAGCGGGAGGAAGAGGGGCTGGACTTCCAGAAACAGGATAAGCCAGGAAGGCACATGTTTTCCGAGAAAGGAAGAAGCTACCAGGACCAAACCCTGTGTCAGACGCGGAGGCTCAAAGACTCTCCAGATGCGTCTCTGACTCAAGGAGTTCAATCAAATGAAGGGAAAGAGACTAAATGTATGGATACAAAACATGTGTAGATGCTACTATAGAGGTGTGTTCAGGGGGACATGGAAGCAAAGAGAAAGCCTGTCAACCCTGCAAGATGGAGAAACAATCAAGTGGGAAAAAAAGACTCAGCAGCCAACCATTTCCCACAGCAGGTGCTAGAATGAGGAGAGCACCACGCCCTGAGGAGAAGGAAACTGCATATGGGCGCTTCCGCCCAGCCGCAGTCCTGAAGGGCATCTAGAAGTTTCCCTGGGAAGGACTTTCAGGCAGGAGAGTGGCCAATGCCACGGGCAGGCAGAGTAAGGTGAGCAGCTTGAGCACATGGAGGAAACAGGCTCGGGCTGCAGGGCCAGTGAGAGGCTACTGCAACAGTCCACGCTAGGAATAGAGACCCGAACTGCAACAGAGACAGGGAAAATGGACAATGGAAAAAGGAGCAGATTTATGATAGATTTAGGAGCTAGAGACGGCGCAAGAATAAAATAGGCTCACTCAGGATGGCTGTTACAAGCGCTCGAGTTGTCAGATCAAAGGGAGTGCTACTCACAACACAGACATTTCTTATTTCGGAAAAAAAAAATTATATGTTGTTTTCTTTCAAAGACAGGACATGTGTGTTTACTACAATTTTGGCAGATGGCAGTAAAAGTGTCTTGTAACTAAATTCCTATGTTTTGACAGTTTGGGGATGAAATTAAATGTCTTACTCAAACAGAGTCCTTGTTTGCTACAATATTTATTATTAGGAAATAACATGCCTATTTATAAACACTTAACTTGAAGAAGAGATATTTTCTTATAAAGGTTAGTGGCTGCCCTGGGCTGACCAGCTGTGGGATGTCTGGGATCACACACTTTCTAGTGGCCTTTGTGGAGCTCAGGCTATGAGAGGCTGGGGTTTTCCAGGAAGATGAGCTGTGGACACTGAGTTTAAGGCTCTAGAGTCAGGGCAGGCAGAGAAATCCGCAAGGTCATGACTGGTTCCTGTTTACCGCGTTATTCACCCCAACCTCCCACTAAAACTAAACAGGATAAAGATGTTTAAATCTTCTCAAAAACGTCCAAGAAGCAAGAAGGCAATAAGGAATTACCAGGTCAAAGCAAAAACCTAGACCTTCAAGGCATGCTTTTCCCCATGGGCATGAGGCCAGCCCGGAAGATGAGGCTCTGTCTTTGTAGCCTCCACAGCAGAGGGCAACAGAAACCAAGCCCCGGGGAAGCGTCAGGACCAACTGCAGCAGCCACGGTGGAAAGAGTATAGGGGATCTTCAAAAACTAGAGCTAGAGTTGCCATAGGATCCAGCAATCCCAGACAAAACTGTAATTCAGAAAGATCCATACCCCTATGTTCACAGCAGCCCTATTCACAATAGCCAAGATGTGGAAGCAGTCTAAATTTCCATCAACGATGAATGAATAAAGAAGATGTGGTGTATAGGCATATACAATGGAATAGTACTCAGCCATAAAAAAGGATGAAATAATATTTGCAGCAATATGGATGGACTTCAAGATTATCATACTAAATGCAGTAGGTCAGAAATGATAAAAACAAATATAATATGCTATCACTTATATGTGGTACCTAAAATATGACACAAATTAATTTATCTATGAAACAGACTGACAAAGAACAGGCTTGTGTATGCCAAGCAGAGAGGGAAGGGTTGGGACTTGGAATTGGTAGATGGAAACTCTTGTATATAGAAATAGATAAACAACAAGGTCTTACTGTATAACACAGGGAACTATATTCAATATCCTGTGATAAACCATCATCTGGAAAAGAATATATATATATTATTTTATATATATATAAAAATATAATATATTTTATATTTATTTATATATATTATATATTTATATAAATTTATTTATATTATGTATATTATATATATTTTATTTATATTATATGTTTGTTATATATTTATATATATTTAATATATGTTATATATAATATATATTTATATATATATAAAAGAATATACATATTCTTTTATATTCATGGCAACCCACTCCAGTATTCTTGCCTGGGGAGTCCCCAAGGACAGGGGAACCTGGTGGGCTACAGTCCATGGGGTCGCAAAGAGTTGGACATGACTGAAGTGACTTAGCACACACAGAAATTAACACAACATTGTAAATCAACTCTAAGTGAATAAGATAAATTAAGACAACAACCATGATTATCATATGCAAAATAGATAGCCAGTGGGAATCTCCTGTATATTGCAGGGAGCTCAAATCCGGTGCTCTGTGACCACCTAGAAATACAGGATGGGATGGGAGGTGGGCGGGAGATTCAAGAGGGAGGGGACATATGTATACCTATGGCTGATTCATGTTGATATATGGCAGAAACCAACCCAATATTGTAAAGTAATCATCCTCAAGTTGAAAATAAAAACAACAACAGCAATAGCAACCACTGCAGCAGACAAAGGCAACCAGGCCAGGAAAACCAAGGCTCTGATAACAGGGACTAAAACCGAAGTCAACCACTCAAACACCAGGAAGTATGTTCAGGGCTGGGGTGAGCCGCTGGAAAAATACTGGTGGACATTTGGGGAAGCCTGTCACTGTGATGAGGCCGTGTGTGTTTGCTCACTGGAGCCCATCAAAGCCAGGCTTGACTCTCCCTGGCAGAAGAGAGATAGGTGGCTACATTTCAAAGGGGTAGACAGCTCCCACATCCTTGAGAAAGACAGTTCTGGGTTGTAAAACTGGCAGGAGGCTTTTAAAAAGAGTTACATCTCAAAGAGGCAGAGAGAGAATTACAAGTTTTCTAAAATAAATGATCCAAGGAAAGGGAGGTCAAGAGTCAGGAACAGAGGAGTCTGAAGCCATTTGGCGGAGGAGAACATGAACGAGCTGGGCAAAAGGTGGCCCGATTACCCCAACTCTCCATGCCTCTGTCTGCACTGCAGATGGGCCCAGCAGAGACACAAGAACCTGCCCTGTCTTTACAGTCAGATCACCATTCTCAGCGGACTCTAAGAGGGCATCATTTCTCTGTGTCGTAGTCCATTCACTCCCCCCAGCCCCATCAACCCCCTCCTACTTTCTCCTCTCCCATCTTTAAAAAAGAATATTCTTTCACCCCACTTTCTCCTCCAGCGACCATCTAATTTATCTCCCCCTTGCAGCATGTATTTGGAGGAGGAAATGGCAACCCACTCCTGCACTCTTGCCTGGAAAATCCCATGGGCAGAGGAGCCTGGTAGGCTACATTCCATTGGGTCACAAAGGGTCAGACACGACTGAGCGACTTCACTTCACCTTCTTTCCTGCGGCATGTATTACTGATGTAGTTGTCTAGTCTCAGGTGTCTCGAGGCGCTGTAACCCCCTCACTGGAAAGGAGATGGAATGACGAATGCCGAAGGCAGCTGCTCCATCCGCAGGATTTTATCAGAAGGACATCTGTCCCTGATGCCTGGGCTGCTGGCTGGCAGGGAGGCAAGAGCAGGATTTTTAGTAAGCAGATAAAGGCCATATTATTATTTAAAAATCCTGCTCTAAGGCCACATGCTTTCCTGGTTGCTCAGCGGGTAAAGAATCCACCTGCAGTTCAGTAGACCCCGGTTCAATTCCTGGGTCAGGAAGATTCCCTGGAGAAGGGATAGGCTACCCCATCCAGTCTTCTTGGACTCCCCTGGTGGCTGAGTCGGTAAAGAATTTGCCCGCCATGCGGGAGACCTGGGTTCGATCCCTGGGTGGGGAAGATCCCCTGAAGAAGGAAATGGCTACCCACTCCAGTGTTCTTGCCTGGAGAATCCCCGTGGACAGAGGAGCCTGGTGGGCTTCAGTCCACAGGGTCAGTCAGACGCGACTGAGCACAAAGGCCACACGGGGGCGCTGAGAGCAACAGCGAGGCCAGAACACAAGGAAGAAGCCAGGAGGGACCTCGGAGGCCGCTGGCGTCTTAGGTCTCGGCCTCGGGTGTTCTGGCTTCGGGGACTGAGGGCCAGGTCCCAGGCTCAGACAAACCACAGCCCAGCCATGGCCCACCTTCCAGAGCATTTTAGATAAATACAGATAGATAATGAAGAACAACTCAACACTCCTAAGAACTTCTGAGCTAAACAAAAATGTCCCCAGAAGCCGAGCTTGCCGATGGCGGCCTTGAGATTGCCACAAGACCTTCTTTTGTGCCCGGGACTGAGTCAGCACTTTCTGAGAAGCAGAGAAGGAGGTTAATCGCATTATATACTTGGGAGCCGTTAAGAGATTTGATCACAAATGTTACTGCCACACACACAAAAACACGTGAGGGAGAGAGGCGTTAACTAACCTCGCTGCAGTAAACGTGTTGCAGTATATACAAAGATCAGATCCTCTCACGTACACCTCTGTTGTGCGTTCAGCCGCTCAGTCATGTCTGACTCTTTGAGACCCCATGGACTGTAGCTCACAGGCTCCTCTGTCCCTGGCGTTTTCCAGGCAAGAATCCTGGAATGAGTTCCTGTTCCCTTCTCCAGGGGAACTCTTACATTGGCAAGGGGTTCTTTACCACTGAGCCGCCTGGGAAGCCCAATCATACACCTTAAACTTACATATATTATATGTCAATAATATCTCGATAAAGCTAGGAAAAACTTAAAAACTAAAAAGTCACCCTTCTATTTAAAAACATAAAGCTCGCCACAAAGATATGACACTCAGGTCCCCTGACTCCCGATCACAGTGCTTTCTGTCCCTGATGACATGCGTCCCAGAAGCCTAATGAATTACAAGAGAGCCCAGGCATCCAGGGTTCCAGAGGCTTCTCCAGGGCCCCACGGAGCACCGGGAATTAGTCTTTCATCAGGAGATGTTGGTGACTCTTCTAGAAATAACCCACCTAGAAATCACATTCTGCATCAGTACAGACAGCAGGTTCTATTATCTTGCTTCCAGAAAGTGGGAGCCCGCCTGGGGAGGTAGAGGAAAAACCTGCAGGGTCCCAGGCGGCAACAGAGGAGCAGGCGTCTGGCCTCTTCCTGCAGCTCTGTACGTGGTCTGACTTTTGGGCCGTGAGCTTCCATGGCCTCCGGCAGATGTCTAGTATGCTGCCTTCTCCTGAGATACGCCTGTTCCAGGTGAGGCCTGAGACCCCCGCCGAGTGGGGTCTCTCCGGCCCAATTAGTCCTCCTCGGCTCCCCAGTTTCTGGATGGCACTGTGCCCACCACAGATCACAGGCCTCCTCAGATTGCATCTGGTCTCAGGGCGATTCCACACAGAAAGGAGGGTTTGGGCCTCACTGGATCTGCAGCATCTCGAAGGGAAGATGAGGCGGGGACAATTCAGACTCAGTACTCACACCCCATGCGAGGGGGCACTCACAGCTAGCACTAGCAGGAAGGTTTCAGGCAAGGAAAACTCACCTCCATTCTGTTCACAGTGGAAATGAAGACAGTCTGGCTGCCATTTCTCAAACCCCTCAAATTAGATAAACAGAAACTCATTTTATTCTTCCAGCCTGAGTGGCAGTTCTGGACGGTTTATCAGGGGCCTTTTAGAAGCCCTGGAAATCCCGACCCGCCGATCACTGCATTTCCACACCCCTGCTCAGGTGCAGATCCCCAGGGCCAGCCATGGCCCTCCCTGCTCAAGGGTCCCCCCGACTCTCCCCACCATGCACCTCCTCTGCCTGCCAGGTGGGATGCAGGCAGCCAGAGTGGGGTGGTGCCTGTCCCGCGCTGGGACGAGGACTCAGGGGTTCAACCCCAAAATGGACATTGAAGGAAGTGCTTTGGAAAGAGGGGGACACATCGCACTAAGTGAAGTAATCCAGACAGAGAAAGGCAAATACCACCTGATACCATTTATAGGTGAAGTCTGGGAAAATGACACAGATGAACTTATTTACAAACCACAGACAGACCCACAGCAGAGAAAACAAACTTATGGTTCCCAAAGGGGTAAGCGGGGGAGGGATAAATTAGGAGTTTGGGATTAACATATACGCACAACTATGTATAAAATAGATAACCAACAAGGACCTACTGTATAGCACAGGGAACTCAACCCAATATTGTGTAATAACCCATAAGGGAAAAGAATTTGAAAAGGAATATATATATAGATTCCCAGGTAGCAGCAGCGGTAAAGAACACACCTACTGGTGCAGGAGACATAAGAGACTCGGGTTCAATCCCTGGGTCGGGAAGACCCCCCTGGAGGAGGGCGTGGCCTGGGAAATCCCCCTGCACAGAGGAGCCTGGTGGCTGCAGACTATGGGGTCACAAAGAGCCGGACATGACTGAATCGACTTAGCACACACACACACATAAAACTGAATCATTGTGCTACACCCTTGAGACTAAAACAACACTATAAATCATTTATACCTCAATTGTTTTTTTAAACTTAGGAATAAATAACAAAAAAACGGAGACAGACACTTCCCAACAGGCACTCATGCTTTTCTTCGGGCAGAGAAACAGAAAATTCCTGTTAGGAGCCAATTTACCCAAGATCACAGCTAGAAGTGGCAGAGCTGGGATTCTAACCCAGTTTTAACACCAAGACCCATGCTCTTCCAACCTTAGCCATTTCTGTGTGGTGATCACTGAAAAGTCAGTGGAAGCACCAGCAATGCATATAGCAGTTCCGTGACATCCCAACCCCCTCCATCCCTCCTCATCCATAAAGAAGACCCAGAGCATGAAGCACAGAACCTGTCTCTACTAGAAGCTGAATTAACACTGCATTTCCTGATGCACTCCCTAGTCATTTCTAGTGTTCCTTAGAATTTTTCTAAGTTCAGGCAAACACGGAAATGACTTCCAAAAATTCAAAAGAGCAGCCATTCACTCAGAGAACTCTGTTACAGCTGAGCATCAACCTCTGAAGTCCTGGCAGGGGCTCAGCATCCCCCACCGGCCCTCTTAGTATTTCAGAGGCATTGCACCCCACTCCCACCCCAAGGGATCAGACTCCTCTGTAATCATAATCACACCAAAGACCTAGGATTCTCTCAGAAGTGCTTTATGTTGGTTTTCCTTTTAAACACATTTAGTTCAACAACAACAACAAAAACCCTCAAGGCATTCCAGCTTAGAATTGCTATTCTCGAGGTCAAAAATTGATTCATACTCAACCAGCTGATTGTCTTTGAGGCAATTTTATTTCCTCAGTAGCATTTGGGAAAGTTTTCAAATTTTCCAGTTAATGTATCCTTAAGTCGATCCGACCACAAAGCAGTTTGGCTCAATTACCTATTTAATAATTAGATCATCTTTCCTCATCTTGAAGAGACCAGTATATGACATCACCCCTTAAGAGGGCATCCTCTGGGCTCCTCCCCATCCTCATCTTTTGGACAAAAGGAAAGGGCTCAAAATCAAGACTTTTAAATCAGCCTCAACCATTTCCTCCCCGCCCCAAAACTTTAGCTTCTTCAGAAGTATTAAGAAGGGAACATTCAAAGGGCTAGAAGGATTGGGCTCAAACATACTTCACCTTGGTATTACAGAAATCTTCTAACACATGACAATGGTAGACAGAAGGCTGTAATGACCCCCAGCCCCTCTTACCCAGCTTCAAATCATCAACACACAATCATTACTGCCTCATCTCTAGCTGCACCTTCTCAGGTCTTGAAGCAAATTTCAAGAGCATTTCATTCCCCGTGTATCTCTAAAGATCCTTTCATTATGCAAGCACAGTAACCTAATTACTCATTCCATATTATCAAATATCCAATAAGTATTCAAATTTCCCTAATAACAGCTATGTTTTATCAATCTTTTTATTGACATATAGCTGATTTACAATGTTGTGCTAATTTCTGTGTACAGCAAAGTGTTTCAGTTATACATATATACACATTCTTTTTTAACATATTCTTTTCCATTATGGCTTATCACAGGGTATTGAATATAGTTCTCTGTGCTATGTAGGAGGACCTTGCTGTTTATCCATGCTATATATAAAAGCTTACATCTGCTAGCCCCAACCTCCCACTCCACGCTCTCCTCAACCCCCTCCTCTTTGGCAATCACCAGTCTGCTCTGGATGTCCGCTATTCTGTCTCTGTTTCATAGATGGGTTCCCCATGCTAAGCTGCTCCAGTCGTGTCCAACTCTGAGACCCCCTGTAACTCGCCAGGCTCCTCTGTCCATGGTATTCTCCAAGCAAGAATACTGGAGTAGATTGCCATTCCCTTCTCCAGGGGAATCTTCCTGACCGAGGTATCCAATCGGCGTCTCTTATGTCTAACCTGCATTGGCAGGTGGGTTCTTTACCACTAGCACCACCTATGAAAGTGAAAGTGAAAGTCGCTCAGTCATGTCCAACTCTTTGTGACCAT